TAACCGAAAAGGTGCTCCATGGCAGCTAACAAAAAGCCCACACCTTAAATAGGAACTCAAGCCAGTGTACTTGAACATGACACAATATAATCATTTCTTGTCCCCTTCCCCCTAGTCCCCTCCAACAGTGTTTCAACAAAAGGAATTTGGAAACTGGTCTGATTGACTTTCATAAAAGGAGATGATTTCCACACAGTAGTCTGCAGTGGAACACAAAGAAATGCTAGGGTATGGTTTTTGCAGTGTCTGATCTCTAAAATTATGGTATCCATGGTTCTAGGGAAAAAATCCAGAATAAAATCCAACAACCAATGAACCAACCGAACAAAAAACCAACATACCCCCAAAACCCAAATTACAAATTACTAATACGACTAATTTAGGTTTCATAGCATTCTGTGAACTGTATCCATTCTGAGTCACAGCAAACCTCCATCAAAGTAACTTGCCTGCAGGATCTTAGGAAAGAATATTCTATCAATGCCTGCATGCAGACAGTAATTATACTATACTGATTCTGAGGCACAAAGCATTAATTGAGGTTGTCTCATTGTTTGGTTCCACTATCAGGTGAACTGTGGAAACACAATGGGAAAAAATTGCTTTTAAGGTCCTGCAGCTCTCTCAGGTGCAGCTGCATAACCATATATCATATTGCCATCATGACAGCAGATGAAGTGCAGGCTATTTAGTGCAAACTACACACTCCCAGGATAGCTAAGTAGTTGAATGCAATCAGCTAATGCATGAGAAACAGGCTTGTCGACTGTCTGAAAAAGAGCTGGTACTGCAGGACAGAATAAAAATACTGAGAGTTTGTAAATACTTTGTTTGATTTATACTCAGTGCTAATCAGTTCAGCCTCTTCCATGGAAACATGCTTTGATTTCTTGCTAATCTCGTCTCATACTGTCAAAGCAATGAGAAATGTTTCCTTGCCATCACTAGTTAGTTGGAAAACCCTGTGTCTTCACAGCAGATGACCTACTCTACCACACTTGCTTACCATCTTAAATCAGTCTTCACATCTTCTAGGGAAGACTGTGCATTATGAATATGCCATATTCATTTCCGTGGTTGCAAAATCCTAAACAGCCTGCTCAACACCACAAATTAGGAAAGAAAATGAAGCCTGCTTTCTTGTCTGGCTTTTGAGTGAAAAGTGATTTAATAACAGTGTGCTTTGCAGGCTGGTTACAAGTTATGTGAAATATTATTCCACCACAATTAATATGGCAAAGAACTTTGCTTATTCAACATTCCACTGGAGAAATAAAAAGTGTCTGTTAGAGATGGTATGAAAAACATATGTGCCCAGTAATATTTTGCTCAGAAACAAATAAAATTACCACCATCCTCACCTCGCTTTCCCTAATCTAAACACAGATAATAGTTACTGAAATAGAGTCTCCTCTACAGAGAAAAATTCAGACTCACAGATCTACAGATCAGTTACCATATTTTATTTCCACAGGCTGTTGACCAAAAGGTCCTAAAGAAACTATGCTGCTATGAGGTGAGATGAGAGGGTAGATCCTCTTGCAGGTAAATGGTTTTAAAAATCAGGCTGTTAAAAATGGCTGCTTATTTTTCTGAATGGAACTATGTGACCTGTGGAATCCTACAGGGTTCCCTGCAAGATTCTGTAATGTTTCATGTCTTTATATATCATCTACAAAAAGCTGGGATTAACAAAGTGACAAAATTTGCTAACGATTATTTACCCATGATAATGCAGTGTACTAAAGGCAGCCACAAAAAGATGAAAAAGAATGTCACAACACAGAAAAGTTTAAAACCACGAACAAAGTGACTTTCAGTCTTCATAAACGTCACACTTCGGACTTTACATACACAGGAGGAGCTGTGAGACATCTAATCATTCTGGAGACAAAACAATTCAAGAGAAATATCAACAAAGAAGCAGCTGCAATGAAAGCAATTATAGGATTTAGTAGATGTGGGAGAGAACAAAACACAGAAATTCATTGTACAGCATACATGAAGCACATGCATACTACATGCATTTCTGATACTCTGAACTGTTAAGCTCTTGTCTTCTGTTCTCTCACTTGCCAAAACCTTATTCTACGAAGTCATGATGACTCAGAAATAACAATGACTTAGAACCAATCAGCTGCATTGAGCAATGGACTCCACTCAAAATATAAATATTAACTAGACTGGGATTCTTGGTAGAGAAGAGAAAAAAAAAAAAGAAAAAAAGGCACACAATAAAGAATAACTAAGGAAGTACTTCAAAGATCTAAACAATTATATGGAAAGAATGAACAAGGATCAATTTTTAACCTGTAACAACATAACCAGCAAGAGACTTTTAGGGGACAGTTTCAATGTAAAAAGGTGTAATTGGACAGATTTTTATACAAGATCATATGAAAAAAACAGTTTGGTGTTAGAAGTCCCTAATTCCTAGACTGTTCTGAAAAGATAATACTTAATGTACATACTATCTTGAATGTTTTCTAAGGTACCTCATTCTTCATTCTGATTCCTACTGAACAAAGGTTAGACTTTTGAACTAACCCAAATTATTCTAAAGAAATCTTTCCAGATAGGCTTTTCTTGCTTTATAGAGAGAATGACAGAACAGGTATGTTCTCAAAATACATAACAATATTGTTTAGCATGGCCTAATGTTCTTCATGGGTCAAATAAAGTCCACAAATGCTTGCAAGCTCAACAGCTTTGTCTCACCCAGTCCAGGAAATAATTTTGTTCTACAAATTCCATCTAATAGATAAACTGCTCTTCAGGAGCCTGCTGTGGTTAGAAAGGTGGTAGCTGTTGCTTTCGACCACAGGAAAAATTGCTAGTGCTATACACTAAAGAGTTTATGCAGTCCACAGATCATTGAGAAAGGCAAAAATGTCCCAAATGTGCTGTTCAGCCTTTTGCCATTTCTGAGGTGTTGGACCTAATACTTCAATGAAAGCAAACAGATATACTATTGTTATAAATATGAAAAAAGAAAATTACTATGAAAGTTCTTCCCATTCCTTTTCCCTCCACTGTCATTCCTCCTTCTGCCTTTTCCCAGTCTCAGTTTCTTGCTGGTTTTCGTCTTCAGCAACAGAAAAGACAGTGTCCAGAGTTTCTTTCCACTTTCTTTCATTATATTGATACCTTTATATAGTACAGTATGCTAGTACCCGTCTCACTCATGTACATGGATTTTCATACTCAAAACCCGATTTTGAAGATTTTCAAAGAAACACCCCAGAATTCCTGAATCCAAAAACATTGTTTTAGGACACTAAAATTATTTAAATCAGTGTGTCTTATTTTATTTTTTTCATATATAATATCCTCATAAAGTAAACAGACTTCTATGCTTAATTCATCTAGCCAGCTTTTTTCCCCAATATTTTATTGCATGAAATCAAAATCTTTAAATCCTTTGAATCTGAACACGAAAAAAAAAATTAATTGGAATAAGCCTCCTTCTGCAGAGCTGCCTATTTGAACCAAAAGAATTAAACCTTAATATCATTTTATTTAATGTAAAGCCTAATACTTGACACTTGTTTAGAATTGTTATTTTTATCTCATGTTAAGATGCTCTGAGGAAAAACAGAAGCTGGGACAGAACCTATTCAACATTTCTGCAACTAACTCTTTCACTTCTGAAAGTTAAGAGGTCACTATGACATGTTCAAGAATACTGTCTTTCATGAAATAATTATTTCATGAAATGATGACTTGGGAAAAAAAGTCACAGTTAATGAAGTGCAGAAACCATTCCCCATTCGACTGATTTTTACGTCAGAAGGAGGTATCTTCATTGTCCAAATGCAAACCACACCAAAGATAAATCTTTTCTCTAAAGAAAAACAAAAAAAATCCTTATTTCCTTCTTTTTAATGTAAAAATCTCTAAGACAAAGACAGTCAACGAGAACAGTGAAAATGACTGTACAAAAAAAGGAATGCAAATGTAAATTAGGAAAACATATGTGCACTTTATTTAGCACCAGAAAATAAATCACTTAATTTTCAACAGCAGCAGGAGCCTTATGAAGAGAAAATGTACAGATTCTTATTTTCTATCTGCTAATACCCCTCAATCCTAATTTGACATGAACAAAGGCTGTGAAATAGGACAAAAACTGTACACTTTGTACACGACTATCATTTCTCAAAAGACCATGCGAGGCAACCATCTTTTTCATTTCATGCTGAAATTCAGCTCCATTCTCTTTACCACAACGTACCCTCCCATTATTTAAGAGCTTCCTATCAAATGTAGTCCTTTAGAAAAAACTGAGAGGCCAAATTGAAAGCAATTATGTTCATTTGTCTAGTCCACCTAGAATGGACCTCAAGTCTTCTTTCACACCGGTTTTCTGGGGTCCATTTACAGCTACTGTTCATTACGGAGGAAAGAAGCAATGCCCTATTTTAAAACCTTTCGACGGTACACTGGTACCTGTCTCACCTGTCCTACAACGTGTAGCAGTGACACACCTTTTTATAAAGCCACTACGAGCACACAGCCGGTCTTGCTTCACTTACACCCTGCTGCAGAGCTCCCCTGCTACAGCCGTATCCCTCAATCCATTGTGTTCCTGCCCAATCTCTCTGACACCGAGTCTGGCTCAGTGCAAAGTGTATCAAGAGGAGACCTCGCCTCGCCCATCCTGCCCTCCTGGAAGCCGTGCATAACGGAGCTCACGGCAGGGAGGGCAGGCTGCGGGAGCCGCTCCAGGAGCTGAGGCAGCAAACGCCACGGGCTGTCAGGTTTCCTGCTCCACTGTCTGCCCGACCCGGAGCGCGCCCCGTGCGCCCGCGGCAGCTCCTCCTCGGCCCGGGGTCAGGCCCAGCTCCTCGAGCGAGGAACGAGAACCTCCCGCCAGCAGCCGGCGGCTCCGGGCTTCCCGAGCTTCCCCGGCTTCCAGGCCGGCCATGCGGCCCCCCCCGCCCTTGCCGCCCGCCCCCGCCCCGGGCCCCGCGGCTCCACCACCTGCCCTGTGCGCCTACCTGCGAGCCGCGCCCGCGCACAGCGACAGCATGGGGGGCGGCGCGGGGGGCGGGGGCGGTGGAGGAGGAGGAGGAGGAACGAAGGAGGAGAAAAGACCGGAGGAGGAAGGACAAGTGGCAGAGAAGAGAAGGAGGTCGGACAGGAGGGATCAGTTTTGCTCCCGTGCCAGCTACCGCGCCGCCCTCTCGCCGCCCGCGGGCGCAGCGCTCAGCCCCTCTCCGCCGCGGTCCTGCGCATCCGCTTCCGCCGCCTCCACACGCCCCCGCGTCTCTGGTGTCTCGCAGCCGGAGGCAGTGCGGACTCGCCGCATCTCGCAGGTAAGGGCGATGCCTGTCCCCTCAGCGAGCGCAGCTCCGCAGGGATGGGAAGGCTGCGCGCCGCTTCCGCGCAGCGCCCGGTCTGTGGAGCTCTGGGCCGGTGGGGCGGATCGGGCCCCGGGCGGTGCGGCCGCGGTCAGTGCGGTGCCAGGAGGGGCCCGCGCCGCGGCTGGTGCAGAGTTGTCCTTGGGGCCCGAGCAAGCGGACCCGGGCCTGGGAGAGACCGGGAGGTGGGCGTGGGGCGGGAGCGCGGCCCGGCCGGTGAGACCTGCACTGTCCCTCACGGGGGCGGAGAGG